GCCTCTGAGCCTCAAGCTTTGTTTCTCACGGTCCTGGAGACTGGAAGCCCACAGGCAAGGTGCAGGCTGCAGTGTCCCGTGGGCCCTTCCTCCTTAGGTTGCCGACGGTGCCTTCTTGCTGTGTCCTCTCACGTGGTCTTCTCCTGATGCATGTGTGTAGACAGGAAGCAAGCTCTCTGTTGTCTCTTCTTATGAGGACACTGATCCTGTCCTGGGGGGCCCCACCCTCATGACCTCATGTAACTCTCATTACCTCCCAGAGGCCCTCTGTCCACACTGTGGGTTCGCGCTTCCACATGTGAGTTTGGGAGGGACACAGTTCAGGCCATAGCGGCCTGATGTCCTTCCTCTCAGCTACAGTTCTTGTAGTTTCTGTTCAAATGTCACTTTATTAGAAAATCTCTCTGACCTCCTTATATACAAACAGGATGCAACCCCCAACCTTGACCCCCTTGTCCTGCTTTTTTTCTTCTCTTAGTGGGTTTATCTGTTTATTGTTTGTGCGCCATCCCTGCGCTAGAATACAAGAAAGGAAATATGGAAAGATGAAAGCCATTCAGCTTGCTGGGTTGATAGCAGTGCAGTCTGTTTTGTTCACTGCTATACCCAAGGTTCTCAGGGGAGGGTTGGCAGAGAAGGTGCTGGATAGACATGTGTTGGATGGATGGATGGATGGGTGCATAGATGGATGGATAGATGGACGGACAGACGGGCAGATGGATGGATGGATGGATGGATGGATGAAACATTTGATCACCTCATTACACGAAATGGTTCATTGTAGACATGCTCTTCCATTTTGCTGGATCTCCGAGGTATGCCTGTGGTACCAAACAGAACAGGGAATGTCTTATAGTTTCACTTTCACTGTTCTAGGTAAAAATATGTAATTCTGCCAAGAAATGCACTACTGAAGCTTAACGTTTCAGGGCATAATTTATTAACTTGTCTTGTCCTTCATGGGGAGCAGCGTCAGCTCTCCTCAAATTTTCAATAATTCAGCTCCTGCAAGTTAAGATGAGGATGTCATTTGAATCTGGGAGCCAAATGAGCTGTTCAGAGAAGCACATATTCATCTGCATTCTAACTCAAAGAAAGTCTCTATGCTCTGGTTACACCCATGTAGAAATTAAATGTGTATATAGACCATGACAAGAAAGGAAAATGGGGAAAATGAAAAGTTTTATTTTCTTGGATTAGCAAGATTATTCATGATTTGTTTCCTCCCTACCTTGTTTTCTATTAGTATTGTAACAACAGTATTTGGTCAGTTAAAAAGGAAATTACCTGTACTGTGAAAAGTGAAATTTGGCAAATGAAAATGGAGTTAAGTAAAGAATGGCTGCTTTCATGTGGGCAAAACTGCCCTTTTTAAATGTGTAAGAATGCTGCCTGGAAGGCAATATGGTGCGTCTGTCTTTAAGAAACGATGTTGGGGCACCTGGGTGGCTCAGTCAATTAAGCATCCGACTCTTGGTTTCGGCTCAGGTCCTGAGATTGAGCCCCTTGTCGGGCTCCCTGCTGAGCCTGGAGCCTGTTTAAGATTCTCTCTCTCTCCGCCCCCCCCCCCGTCTCTAAAAAAGAAAAAAAAGCAAGCAATGGTGTCATTGACCCAGGATCACTTCCCTTGAGGAGGCTATGCTGTCAATGCCTATTTGGTTATTTAGGGTACATTCTCCCGTTCAATAACACGTACCAAACTGGTTTTCTGTGCAAAGTATTTTCTTAGTCCAGTGAACAGGAGGAAGGCAGAGTCTTTGTCCCTTTTCCAGAAGTCCTTGCCTCCCGTTCATTGTCCGCCCCTGTATAGCAACTTCACAGCTTTCTATCTCTCTCTTCCATCCTATATGTGTTCATAGAACTTTTACTCTATTGGGCATTTTTTTTAAAGATTTTTTTATTTATTTGACAGAGAGAGACACAGCGAGAGAGGGAACACAAGCAGGGGGGGTGGGAGAGGGAGAAGCAGGCTTCCCGCGGAGCAGGGAGCCCGATGCGGGGCTCGATCCCGGGACCCCGGGAGCATGACCTGAGCCGAAGGCAGACGCCCAACGACTGAGCCACCCAGGTGCCCCTCTATTGGGCATTTTTAAGATCATTTATTTCCACCTTCCTTTCTGGAGGATTGGACCTCCAGGACCCTCCTTAGGTGTTCACCATCCTGCACACTTCCTGGTGAAGCCTCTCATTCTACTGTGAGGTGATATTCATGGCTGGGAATTTTGAAGTTGTACTGAAACACAATTTTACCTTCTGGAGCTGTACAGAATAAGTCTCCTCTCTCTTCCATGTGATAGTTCAGGTGGATGAAGGCTCCTAAATATTTGGCTTTTGAGGCTGAACTCTTCCTTAACGTGACATGTTTTGCAAACATCTCCATCTTTTGGTCCTCTTGGTAGACGCTCTGACACCATCCAGCCTAGCCCTGGACATCCCACTGTGGATGTGTTGGGGCTGGTAAGAGGCCCCCTGAGTCTCAGAAGGACCTCTGTCACTGCAACATGGGTTCAAGTACACTTCTACAAGTAAATCAGCTACACTACTAGCTCGTCAAGAAATTGACACAAAGAGGGGCGCCTGGGTGGCTCAGATGGTTAAGCGTCTGCCTTCGGCTCAGGTCATGATCCCAGGGTCCTGGGATCGAGTCCCGCATCGCGCTCCCTGCTCCTTGGGAGCCTGCTTCTCCCTCTGCCTCTCTCCCTCTCTCTCTCTCTCTGTCTCTCTGTCTTTCATGAATAAATAAATAAAATCTTTAAGAAAAAAAAAAAGAAATTGACACAAAGAAAAAGTCTTAGGCTTCTTCATGCACATAAACTTCAACCAGTGTATTTAATAGATATGTTTGGTACAGATTTTAGAATTCTAAATTATTATTAACAACAAGATTCAAAAGGTATCAATTGTTTGAGCTGATGAAGGCAATAACATTAATTTTATTATTCTGTATCTTGAATAAGATTTGGTCTTGACGATTAAAATATTCTGGTTTGATTGTTACCCTGGGATTTAATATGAACAGTGTTTGTGAAATGTCCACTAGGGGGTGCCTGGATCCTCAGTCAGTTAAGCCTCTGACTTGATTTCAGCTTAGGTCATGATCTCAGAGTTGTGAGATTGAGCCCCGTGTCACATAGGACTCCACACTGGGCGTGGAGCTACTTAAGATTCTGTCCCTCTCCCTCTGCTCCTCCCCTCCCTCATGCACTAGCACTCTCTCTGAAAGAAAGAGAGAAAGAAAGAAAGAAAGAAAGAAAGAAAGAAAGAAAGAAAGAAAGAAAGAAAAAAGAAAGGGAAAAGAAAAGCAGAAAAGAAAAATCCACTAGGGTCTGCGAGACATTATGTGTACTACTTTGTTCATATGAATAACACTGCCTCAAGATTTATGCTATTCACAAATTTGGTGAATTTTCAAATTTTCTTCATAAACGGGCAAAGTGAAAAGCTGCTGAATCAGCAAAATCTGATTACTTCTTCTTGTTATTGGTCTGTGGTTTTCCTGCATAGGAAACTCTATCCATTCAGAAATGAGATCAACTCAGTATAGCCTTTTGTCATTTTTAAGTGCTAAAAAGTCACTTCTTAATAGATAAATTCTGGATAGCAAATAAGATTGATAGAAATTTTTAAACAACAATAAAATCCTTTCTTGCTCAATAAAAAAATGGAAAAAAAATGGAAAAGAAAATCCTTTCTTGCTAAGACCATAGTGGCTCTCAGAATTTCTCTTAATTTGATAATCTAGATAGCCAATATTGAATATTTGCATGTCAATTATTATTTGCCACCCTCCATTTAATGTTACCTTTATTTCGATTTGCAGAAATTTGCTGCATTCTAATGAACTTTGAGTTTGGGATGAAGCTGTATTTGGGTATTGCATTATCTACTTTTTTTTTTAATAATTTTTTTTATTGTTATGTTAACCACCATATATTACATCATTAGTTTTTGAAGCATTATCTACTTTTTGAGGCCACCTCTATTCTACTTCATCTTGAGTTGGAGTTAATATGAGTTGTAATTATGGGCACTATAAGAGAGAATGTTTTGTGTTCTGTTTTTGGGCAGAAGGAGCGGTAGACCGTTTGCAGTGTGGCCATATGTCTTTATTTGCCTTGGGGAGTGCCAGTTGCTCTTGTATAATTGATGATAATTTTTATTAATATAAACTCTTATGTTTATTAATTATAAACATTAACCCTTTTGTCTCTCAAAGGATCCCAGCTTGGAGTGTAAACGATATGAGCACCCTGATTTGAAAGGAATTGAAAGTTGGTTTCAGCAGCCAATATGCCTGATTAATTTCCTAGATTTATCCAACCATTAGCACACTTGAGCAATGTCTCCAGATTCTTCCTCCCATCCCTAACCCCTGCGACAATGCAAACACAGCTCCCGGGAGGGACGAAAATCTAGAATAGGTGTAAGTGAATCACCCAATGAAAAGACCTGGGCAATCTTGAAGCCTTGTATGAGGGTCTACAGAAGAAGAGAGGGCTCAAGATCATGAGCAGTGGGTCCAGGCTAATTATAGTCGGCATGCAGGATGTGCTAAATAAATGTTTGAATCTGGTATCCTGAAATAGAAGTTAACAGTGTGGATGTGAATGAGAAGGACGATGGGAGGGGCCTCGGAGCCGGCATACTTGGGTTTGACTCAGTGGGGTTAGGAGGTTGGCTGTCACGAAGAGAAACGCCACAGTTGCCCTGTGCTGTGGAACCCAGTGTCCCGAACGGAAAGAAAGTCAGTTCTCAGCAAAGCTGTAAACATAATATGCTATCACACTCGTTCTTGAGATGAGGTTTTGCTGTGTTGAACGGGACGAGAGCAGGAGGCCGAAGGGCGCAGAAAAGAGCTACTCGTGGTTTCAAGGATGAGAATGTGCCTCATTCACTCTTCCGTGTCTTGGTTCTTGATTCAGATGGAGGGTATTTATTTGGTTTTTATTTTATTTCCTTACTTCTCTCACTGGGTCTCCCTCTCCTGTTGTCGTTTTTAGGAGCTGGTGGGGAGCAACCCTCCCCAAAGGAACTGGAAGGGGATAGCGATTGCACTCCTTGTAATCCTGGTCATCTGCTCCCTGATTGTCACCTCGGTCATACTGCTGACACCAGGTGCGTACACTTGTTCTTGGAAAAGCAAGTCACTGTGTGGGAGACAGTGTCTAGTTGTGCTTTGCCAGTTTTTTCTAAGTAACTACCTGTTACATAATTTATTTTTCCCAGGTTCTAATTCTCAATGTGCCATGTCGTTAAAGGATTAATATGTTCCAATGAAAAAAATCCATTTTGTACGCTTTGAATTCGCTTATATAATCGTTGACTAGGTAGAAACCCTTGGCATATATTAAAATTCATAATTACTTATTCATGCTTGATGAGCTTTAAGACAGTGGCATTATAAATATAACACGTATATGGATCTCATGGAATTTGTACCTACTATATCCAAGATGCATTTTAAAAATTATTAAAACAACATACATTGAGTGTGAACTAAGAACAGAGGTACTTGATGAAATAACAAAAGTATAAGAAAGAGTCAGAAATCTCACAGGGAAGAAAAAACACACAAAAGTCTTTAGCAAAAGCCTACAGCAAAAATGTGTATACACCTGCACCATTGAATGTTTCAAAAATCAGTGCTATGGGAGCTTGGAGGAGAGAGGGGTCCTCCGTGAGGAAGTCCAGGAAGAAGGTGAGATGTGAAGTGGGTTGTGGTGGAGTATGAGCTTACGGAGAGAAGGAAGACTTTTCCTGGAAGACAACCACATGGCAGTTATAGGAGACCACTGTGACCACATTCTCATTGTCATGTTCGTTTCCTAATTGTTTGAAAAAAAAAAAAAAAACACAGTTCTAACCCTCAGTAGATAGACTGCACAGGTATTAGGCCTTAAGACAGAAAAAGAAGCAGATACATTGAAATCTATAAATAAATAAATTAATTAATTTTACGTTTTTACAAAAAGTGCCATTAAATGATGACGTACATTTAAATGATTCCAAAACTTCAGTGACAAAAAAAGTAATCTGTACCCTTAAACCAAAACTAGATAAAGGTATCACAAGAAATGAAAACTATAATCAGTATCCCTTATGGGGGCGCCTGGGTGGCTCAGTCATTAGGCGTCTGCCTTCGGCTCAGGTCATGATCCCGGGGTCCTGGGATGAAGCCCCGCATGGGGCTCCCTGCTCAGCGGGAAGCCTGCTTCTCCCTCTCCCACTCCCCCTGCTTGTGTCCCCTCTCTCACTGTGTCTCTCTCTGTCAAATAAATAAATAAAATCTTTAGTAAAAAAAATCCCTTATGAATATAGATGTAAAAATCTCAACAAAATGCTAGCAAACTGAATCCAGCAACGTATAAAAAGGATTGTACACCTTAACCAAATGTGATTTATCCCACGAAAATAAATTTGATTTAATGTATGAAAATCTATGTAATATATACATATTAATAGAATAGAGGGAGGGAAGGAACCCACAGAGCTGACATTTGCAAAGTCCAAAACCTTTTCATAACAAAATATTCAACAAGCTAGTAGAAATTTCCTCAACCTGATAAAGAGCATGTATGAAAAACCCACAACTAATATCATACTTAATGGTGAAAGGTTGAAACCATTTCCCTAAGATCAGGAACAGACAAGGATGCTCAGTCCCCCCATATCTATTTAACATTCTATTAGAGATTCTAGCCAAGGCAATGCAAGGGAAAGAAATACAGTTAGGAAAAAAGTAAATTATTTCTATTCGTAGATGACATGAACTTGTATATAGAGAATCTTAAGGAATACACACACACACACACACACACACACACACACACAAATGCAGCAAGGCTGGATAATACAAGATCAATAGACAAAAATCATTTGTATTCCCATACATTAGCAATGAACAATCTAAAAATTAAATCAAGAAAATGATTCTACCTGCAATAGTTTTGAAAATAATAAAGTACTTAGGAATAATTTAACAGAAGATATACAAACTTGTGCACTGAAAAATCATAAAACATAATTGAAAGAAATTAAGGAAGACCTAAGTAAATGAAAAGATACTCTGTGTTTATGGATTGGAAGATCTAATATTGGTAATATAGCAATACTTCCCAAATACTTTTATAGATTCAATCCAATCTTTATAAAAATCCCAATTTCCTTTATTGGAGAAATAGGCAAGCTGATTCTAAAATTCATATGAAAATACAAGGGACTCAGAATAACCAAAACAACCTTGAAAAAGAATGGTTAAAGTACTTATACTTCCTGATTTTAAAACTCACTCTAAAGCTACAGTAATGATGGTACTAACGTAAGTATAGACATATAGATTAATGGAATAGAACTGAGCGTTCAGAAATAAACCCAGACATCTATGGCTAATTGATTTTTGACAAAGGTGCCAAGATCTTTCGATGGGGAAAGAATAGTCTTTTCAACAAATAGCGCTTGCCCAACTGAATATCCACATGCAAAAGAGCAAAGTTGGAGCCCTACCTCACACTGTATACAAAAATCAACTCAATGTTGATCAACAACCTAATAAAAGAGCTGAAACTACAAAATTCTTGAAGAAAACTTAGGGGCATATATTTATGACCTCGAATTAGGCAGCAGTTTCTTAGATATGACACCAGAAGCATAAGCAACCAAAGAAAAAATAGATAAATTGGACTTCATCGAACTTAAAAATGTTTGTGCATCAGTGGACACTATCAAGAAAGTGAAAAGACAGCCCATAGAATGTGAGAACATATTTGCAAGATATATGTTCAGTAAAGGTCAGATGTCCAGATTGTATAAAGAATTATTATAACTCAAAACAGAGAAATAATTTAATTAAAAACAACCAAAGGATTTAAAAAACATTTATCCAAAGAAATATAAATGGCCAATAAGCATTGAAAAGAGATGCTCAACATCATTAGTCATCAAGGAAATGCCAATCATACAGTATACCACTTCATACCCACTAGGATGGCTATAAAAAGAAAAAAAAAAGGAAAATAACATATTGGTAAGGATGTGGAAAAATGGGGAACTTCAAACATTATTAGTAAGAATGTAAAATTGTGTGGACTCTGTGGAAAACTGTTCAGTAGTTCCTCAAAAAGTAAACATAGAGTTAGCATATGACCGAGTCATTCCACTCCCAGGTATATACCCCAAAAAACTGAAAACATATGTTCATACAGAAACTTCCATATGGATGTCCATAGCACCATTATTGATAAGAGCCAAAAAGGTAGAAGACATTATGCTAAGTGAAGGAAGTTAGGCCCAAAAGGCCACATATTGTATTATCCCAGAATGGGCAAATCCACAGAGATAGAGGTACATTAGTGGTTGCCAGGGGCTAGTGGTGGGGACAGGGAGAAGTGACTGCTAATAGATATGAGATTTATTTCCTTTTTTTAAAAAATGACATTATATTTTTAGAGAAGCTTTGGATTCACAGAAAAATTGAGAGGAAGTCACAGAGATTTCCCATATACCATCTGTCCCCACACAACGTATAGCCTCCCTGGTTATTAACATCCCCACTGGGTGGTACATTTGATACAACTGATAAGCCTACATGGATGCATCAAAATAAGATTTCTTTTGGGATAGATGAAAATATTCTGGAATTTGATAGTGGTGATGGATTCACAACTCTGTTAATACATCAAGAACTACTGAATTATAAATATTAAAAAGTGGAACTTCATAGTGAATGAATTTCATCTCACTTGAGCTGTTAGTTTACATGATAGTGGAAACATTATTAAAAAAACATGGGGTAATCTGGCCATACTTATATACTAAAGTAGCATAAAAACTTGCCTAATGTTGAAGAGGTTTCAATAGCAATTACAAAAAAGAGAATGTTGCTCTCTCTCCCTGAGTATACTTTATGAGCATACCAGAGTTGCCTGGGGCACCTGGACTCAGGATTCAATATAGTGCATCTGATTGATCAGGGAAAAAATGGATTCAGCCATTGAAATCTGAGTAGGGGGATGGTTAGTAAAGACAAATACTTGTTCTATTTTGTGATTGGCTGACAATGATTCACCTTAGCTGGTGATGTCAGCAACCACGTACTTTTAATTAAGGTGGAGGAAATCCGGTCTTCCTCAGGATTCACGGAGTACGTGTCCCTACCATTGCTTTTCTTTGAACAGAACTGTGCTTTATACGAGAAAATGATTATTGAACAGTTGATTCTGTGGTTGTCCAGCACTGGAGTGGGGACTTAGAAAGAACAGTGTTTTAAGTACTTTGCAGTTGCTGCTGCCCTCCCAAGGCACACATGAGTGTCCATGTCACCCCAAGTCCTAGGGTGCCTGCATTCGTCACTTCAATGTGAAATAAAAGGGCACCCCCCCCCCCCGCAGCTCCTTTCTCCCCAATGATCCAGCAGCAAGGCTGGGTGGTAAATGTTCTCGCGGAATAAATTTTGAACCAGTCTGGAAGCCTTCCCTCCTTGTGCCCATGCAACACCCACAGAGAGCTGCCCCTCGGTCTTCTCCACTGCGTAGGGAAGCATGTCCCAGTCTCTCAAATGCAGCCGCTAACCCTGAGAGTCATTTACATTCCGCTCTCACGCGCAGTGTGGCTTCTGCAATAGAGAATATCGTCATTGTAACCATCACCTCTTCGAATGCTGGCAGCCAGTTGTCAGGGGCAACAACAATGGGCAGGAGGCATCTGCTGGTGGTGGGGCTGGAGTGCATCCCTGAATTCCAGGAGAAGCTTTGAAGAGCAGAATTTCTTTTATTCTTCTGTCAAAATAAAAATGTGGCTGAGCCTTGCCTAACCCTTGGGCTCTGTTGGGCTTCCGTGGCTAGTATTTTGTTTTGCAGGTTGTGCTGCTCAGGGAGTGTGTGTCCTAGGTTAGGACGATCAGTCATGCCTGTTCAGTAGCAAAGGTACTGCCGTCCCCTCCCACCGTGGGCTTTCTGCATCCGCCGTCCTGGGGTGCAGCACTGGCTTTTGTTTGGCAATCAAAATTCAGTCAGGCAGAAGAGAATGTCAAATCGCTCAACCTGCCCCTGGCTCCAGAGCTTTCTCAAATTTACGAACCTGCAGAACATCCTCACCTCAACCAATAGGACGTACTCATT